CCACATGGAATCATTATATGCATTCCTGATGATGACATAATTAATGTCGAAATATTGAATCACAACACGATGGCGTGTATTCCAATACTTGGAGTATGTATTATACTTTCTTATCTGAGATTAATCAGTGGACCTTTCGGTCATTATATGCAAGTATCGGTAACCATGGTAGCCTTGTCGGTGCGTGATAGGAAAGCATGGCATACGCGTGAGTACAGATGAACACTTAAATCTACGAGCTATCATGTATCTAGAAATACTAGGTTAATGAGATGAACTGTATAGCGTTTGTATTGCTTTTGCCTGAAATGTGCGACAATAAAATCAAGAACAATTGTCACGTCTGTGAATACTTCAAACACTTAAGATCGACTGAGAATCGCAAATGATTAGGATGTGATGAAATTATGTGGTCTCAACTGTCAATGTTTGAACATACTTAGTCTGTTAGCCTACTTTGTCCGATCTGATCAAGCCATTCTTATGTCTGTCCCTCTGTAAATCTGAAAGATTGGTGAAACAGTACCTACAGTGATCAGAGAACAGCACATGCGATGTTATCGTAGTACCAAAACTGTGACGTCAGACACATTAATTGAAAGGATTCAGAGCATACTGGTGTTCGGATTCACCACAACGCCTCCGTGGTTACCGTACTCGAGCGAATAAGCGCCCGGGCGCTTAATATTTTTTGCACTTTCTGAGGAGCGCTTATTCAAACAGGGCGCTTATTTAAACTGGGCGCTTATGAAAACAGAGTGCAAATGGAATATGCTAAGAGTGCTTATGGAAATAGATGAAAATCGAGGGGTTCTTATGGGAAATCATTAAATTCAATAGGCACTTTTTGAATGAAAAAAGATTATATAAGGACATTACGAATAGTGGTTAGAAAAGATAGTCGTCCAGAGAACATGGCTCATGACAAGAATGCGTGAATATTTACATAACAGCAAAATAGCAGATGCAATTAGTGGAGGTGGGTGGTGGGTGGTTAGCTTGTTGGCCATCGGCCGATTGAGATTAGCAGGATGGCAGGATCATTGTATTCTTTCTTTCTCAGATGAGAATGTGCTAAAGGTCGGAAAAAGAAAAAAAGAGGAGTAGGACTAGGCATAGACAAATATGTAAAAAGAGTAAAGTTGGAAATATACTGCCTGTCCAGGGATCGGAGTTCTCATCTGTCCAAGAGAAATATCCTTATTTTGATATTGACGAAGAAGAATGTGTTTCCACTCTACAGCGCAAATCATTCCAACAACCACAGTCCCAGGATTGATTGGATTATAGACTTGCTAAAAAGAAAATCTTATTAGGGGGCGCTTATTCAAACGGGGCGCTTAAGGAAATTTTCATGTTAGGAGGGGCGGTTATTCAAACGGGGCGCTTATTTGCGCGAGTACGGTAAGTAGTTATGACGTTCGCCATGTGCGAAAGTCCCATGTTTGGGTCCTAGTAGAGACCAGGTTTTCTTTTATTGTCGATTAACTGTCTCTTATTTTTTTTCTATCTATGTTTTTTGGGTAATTCAACTTGGATGTTTTTAAATTGACAAACAACCAAATATTTTATGCATGCGCCTAAATATATTATTTTTGCAATACTGCATCACCGTTTTCTCTCGTAGAATTAAATTCTGCCGGCCTTATGAAGAACAAACAACATAATTATTTTAATGAAACACTGTTATCCATTTTTTTTTGTTTTAATTCCACGTGGATCTAAACTTAATAGGGGATATACAATACTGTCAACTTTTTTTTATATATAGGCCAAACGGATCGTAAGCTAATTAAAACATCAGCTTCCTGACAAGAAATATATACACCGGCACCTTGTGATATCCTACAAGAAAATCCCTCGGCATCTCGCGATACTATCTTCACATAGCCATGGGTAAATTATTAAAATTACATTGAAATGAGCCTGGAGTACTGATTCTGATTACCAATATCAGATAAAACCCAAGGTCAGGCTAGAAACGACCAATAGGCCTATTATCTATTATCAAGATAACAGTAATCATTGATTAAATATTTTATCATAAAAAAACATATCTTAATGTTACAAAATATTAAAATATTGAAGTATAATATTTAATCAATGTCAACATTCACCGAAAATAATTAATTTTCTAAATTATTTTGTAATTTCATATTTTCTCAACTTAAAATACTATCGTGTTGACTCAGAACTATTTATGTTTTATGCACTCTCGATATTCAATATACATTTTAGTATTTTTTTCGCCAACCCGATGTCAAGAAGGGTGAACAAACTTATATATTAATAACAACACAGCCGCCAGGTGTAATGCCTTCACAGTCAACGGAGACGGTTTTTTGGATTAAGGTATGCATATCTATATATCTGCATATGATATTTTTAAAATTAAAAAAGCTACGTGGAGGGTCGCAAAATTGCCGGAGAGCGCACAGTGAATGCCGAGGAGAGTAAGAACCTCAAGGTATTATATATAGGTATCTATGTAAGAGGAGCTACGGTTTGAGGCGTTGAGTTTTTTTAATTAGATTTTTTTAGAGGCCACAAACGTAGGCCTGGTGCCCAGCATATGAGTTGTTGGGGACTTATTTGGCCTATTAATTAACTTTTATCTGAGTATTTTGTAGCTTATTAGAATCGAAGTCTCAGATGCCGTTATGCCGATTTTGTAGCATTATCATCTGTAATATATAATTTAATACTACGGTTCCAGCCCTGCCAGTGTCTACTACTACTAATAAAGCCTACTGTTTACATTTTTCATATTATGCGAACCCACGTGCGTAGCTGTGGGTATAATTAGACATATATTAACACAAAAGTAATGCTAATAATAATAATAATAATAATATATCCTTCTTGTAGCGTCTATTGATGTGTATGCGCTTTACAGTACTACCCTGGTCGTGAATGAAATCTATACTGTATGGAACACATAATAGCTTATTTGAGGAATATTCTGTAATGTTGCAGATATTATTAAAGCCGACCAGGTAGTCTCTTTATACTTATAGTACTTGATCCACCGGTGTGTGTTTGTGTGTGAGAGAGAGAAAGAGAGAGAGAGAGAGAGGCATATCCATTACCAGCATAGATATCACTTCATTCCCCTGCTAGCTACCACTGTTTCTAGTGGCCACTTATCTGGATATCCTGTTGCACAAGGTGGCCTAACTGTCGGGGAAATCTTAGCAGTCTCAAATGAAATGAAACTGCCAAAAATCGTAAGAATACCATAGCTTTAATGGGCTTCTCTTCTCGACCCAG